CATTATGAATCCCCTCTAAAGAGGCACTGTCCCTTAAAGGAAGTGTACATTAAGCACTTTTTAGACATGGATTCCACAGTCCAGAACTTTAGCCAACTTCTTCATGATCAATGACATGATGCTCATATGGAAAATGAGACAGCAGACCTCTAACAACTGGTCTATGCTATAGCTCAAGGCTGCAGGCATTCATTTTAAATGCACTATGACCAAGGGATCAATGGTCAAAGTGATCGGATCCCTTCTAATAGTCTGAAACCAGTCAGTCAGGGTTTGAGAGATCATGGTAACAGCTAAAATAATTTGCAGAGCAGGACCCACCAGAGAGGACAAGGTTCTAGAGAGGGCCTCCAGCCACATATCTTAATAACAGGTGCATCCTCCACTGGAATAGTAGACACTTTGTTAAGACAGGATACTGCTGGATCCACAGAGTGGGCAGACTACTTTTTAACAAAGTCCTCCTCAAACGAGTACAGGACTGATGGACACATTGGAGGTATAAATATCTTTCCAGGATGTTGCCAATCACTATTAAGAAAGCTTGAGAACAGCGGTGCATCAGGAAGGTCTTCGGTGCGCTAAAGGATCCTAGGCTAGCGAAAGTGCTGCAAGAGGCTACAGGCTGATCCCCTAATTTTATGGTAGTGCATACCACAGCAATAGGAGCTGAAATGGTCTCTTTCAGTTTTGGAGTGATAGCAGAAGACTGCAATTTCATATAGGCCCAGTTTTGTCTGTCAAGGACTGGAGAGACTTGGCATCAGACAGTGTTGTGGCCTCTGTGGTCACAGTCCGCAAACATCTGTGCTATCTGGCATGTAAAATCCAGGATCCTTGGATGGAGGAGGCCGCGCTCATGTCCAACAGAGCAAGAGAAGACTCCAAACATGGCTTAGACTCTACGATCAGAGGACAAGATTCCAGGCTACAAACAATGGCAGCATAAGTAGGCGTGCTGCAAGCAGCACCAGAGCGCACCTGTGTCGTGTGAGCTGGCGACGCCTCTGTGTCTAGAATAAAACATGTTGCAACTGCATAGTGGAAACCAACTTAGAATCCTCCTACCACTATAAGACACATGAAATTACATGGCGGCTAGGTGCACACTAGCATTAGAGGTCCACCTTAATACACCTCATTAGAGAATATATATCTACTGTATATACCTGCTGCTTATAGAGCAGAGGAGGGCAGGGATTTGAGGCATCTCCTAAAAATGTCAGTTGCCTAATGCCATGCTGATCTGTTGAGTGCAATACTTACCCATCAACCAGTATGCACTATGGGTGTTCTAATGTGGCGCTGACTTCGTAGCTGAGTTGCATCCACTTTGTTGCAGGTTTGTTGCAGCATTGTCATTGAGATAACATTGCCACAGATTGCTAAAACTAATATACGGGCAATGTTTGAAGGAAATCTATTTATAGCACTGTTGGTCATTGTTGGCTGTTAAGGTAATATTGATCCGTCGTGTTTGTATAATAGGAAAATAATACCTCTAACAGTTGACCGCTGAATATTTAGTAGCAAGGAGATTTCATGGAACACCTGAATCCACTGATTTGGAGGGGTGTCCCAATACTTTTGGTAATAGAGTGTGTGTGTGTATATATGTATATGTGTGTGTGTGTGTGTGTGTGTGTATACCATCAGTACTTGACCTCACAAATGCGCTTCTGGAAGAATGGTCAAACATTCCCATAGACACACTCCTAAACCTTGTGGACAGCCTTCCTAGAAAAGTTGAAGCTGTTATAGCGGCAAAGGGTGGGCCAACTCAATATTTAACCCTACGGACTAAGACTGGGATGCTATTAAAGTTCATGTGCGTGTAAAGGCAGGTGTCCCAATACTTTTGGTAATGTAGTGTATACACACACACACACACACACACACACACACACACAGTACATACATATATACATGCAAACGAACGACACACAGACTCACATAATATAGGATCAGAGCAGGTTTGTTGCAGCATTGTCATTGAGATAACATTGCCACAGATTGCTAAAACTAATATACGGGCAATGTTTGAAGGAAATCTATTTATAGCACTGTTGGTCATTGTTGGCTGTTAAGGTAATATTGATCCGTCGTGTTTGTATAATAGGAAAATAATACCTCTAACAGTTGACCGCTGAATATTTAGTAGCAAGGAGATTTCATGGAACACCTGAATCCACTGATTTGGAGGGGTGTCCCAATACTTTTGGTAATAGAGTGTGTGTGTGTATATATGTATATGTGTGTGTGTGTGTGTGTGTGTGTATACCATCAGTACTTGACCTCACAAATGCGCTTCTGGAAGAATGGTCAAACATTCCCATAGACACACTCCTAAACCTTGTGGACAGCCTTCCTAGAAAAGTTGAAGCTGTTATAGCGGCAAAGGGTGGGCCAACTCAATATTTAACCCTACGGACTAAGACTGGGATGCTATTAAAGTTCATGTGCGTGTAAAGGCAGGTGTCCCAATACTTTTGGTAATGTAGTGTATACACACACACACACACACACACACACACACACACAGTACATACATATATACATGCAAACGAACGACACACAGACTCACATAATATAGGATCAGAGCAGGTTTGTTGCAGCATTGTCATTGAGATAACATTGCCACAGATTGCTAAAACTAATATACGGGCAATGTTTGAAGGAAATCTATTTATAGCACTGTTGGTCATTGTTGGCTGTTAAGGTAATATTGATCCGTCGTGTTTGTATAATAGGAAAATAATAAACAATTACTTTGGAATGGTAGAATAAGTAATCATTTTTTTTTTATATCTGATATTGCAAACCTCCCAAAACATAAAGGTGATGATCTGCATAAAATCAATTTGTTATGGTACAGTGCTCCTATTTATTACAGTAAGAATCCTTTATTCAAAACAGGAAAAGTCAAATTGTCCCATCAATAAGCTGTTTAACATTGCCTCTAATTTCTAAATTAGATTTACAATTATGCAGATGAATCTATTTATTTAGCAGCAGTGGAGTCTTTCAATTATTTAAAATAAAATTACGTACATATATTGTTCAAGGCAAACTTGGTAAGAGATTATCAAAACAGGATTTTTGTCCTGTAAAATCTGTTTCTTGAAATACATCACAGGATACAGGGAGTTATTATGCAGCTACCTTAAGGTGATTCGACACTGGCAAATTAAAGGTGTAAGGACAGCATAAGCCCTCTACTCTCAGACTGCCTCAGCTTTGCAGCAAGCAGTACAAGCGCGGACCACAGAAACAAGAGGGGAGGGTCCCGCATCCTGTTAGGTATCATCATAGGACACAGGAAGGTAATTCTGCAACCAATGGAATGTCCAAAAGCAGTCCAACAAAAGGGTGGGCAAAACAGCAACAGACCCTTGAAACATGCAAACAAATGATAGCAGGGAGCAATAACAGAAGGGACCCACAATTCAGGAGGCTGCCTGAAGAACTTTAGAAGTTGATATCTATAAAAAAATAAGTCAAGGCAACTGGACTTGCTGTATTTTTAATTCGGAATGACTTGCCCAAAATTCTCTTAGAAGTGAAGATGGCATCTGAACTTCCACCTAATAAAACTAGTAAAAAGGTA